AAAAGGCCCTTCCCTCCCTCCTGTAACTGTGGAGAGGTAGGGAAAATGACTGCTCTTGGCTTTGGCAATGGATCCTTAGCTTTAAACCTGAAACAAAAGCAACAACATCAACAATCTGCTGTATCTAAGTAAAATTTTATATCTGTATCAAAGCACATAATCAGGCAAGTGAAAAAATCTACAAAATGGAAATATCTACAAATCATGTATTTGCCAAGGGTCTGGTATCCAGAACATACACAGAACTCTTAGAATTCAAGGACTTAAGATGTTTCTCCAAAAATAATTACTCAGCCAATAAGTTCATGAAAAGGAGTTCAACACCATTTGTTTAGGCAATATGGAAATGCAAATAAAAACCAGAATGACATACCACTTCGCACCCAACAGGATGGAGATGGTTTTCTAAAATTGAAAGTGATTGTGGTGCTCGAGGGAAACTAGAACTCTAGTGTATTACTGGAGGGAATGCAAAATGGATCCATTGGGGCAAAGCTGGGCAGTTTCTGAGAGTCAAAACACAGAATTACCTCATGACCTGTCATCCACACAAACTGGAAACTGGTATTCAAATACATTAACACGTCTCTCTTCACAGGAACATTCTTCACAGTAATCAAAGCATGGAAAGGTCTCCATATCTCTCAAGAGAAGAAAGGATAAACAAACTGTGCTACTTACCACATTAAGCTATCCACTAAAAGCTATGAAGTATCACCACATACAAATGGACTGCAAAAACATGCTAAGAAGCCAAACCCTAAATGGTATAGAGGTAGTAAGTGAATTAACACCATAAATGCCCTACGTGCCTTTGAACTATTCACAGATGGAAGATTTCCTGTCTCTCTTCTCTGTAAATCCAATCTGCCTTTCCATTAAGAATAAATCTTTTTAAAAAATTAATTTTAAATATGGGCATTTTACCTTTTTTTTTTTTTCCTTAAAGTAGCTGGTTTCCTAAGCTAAGATGTAACCAGTAAAGATCACTGCTGTTCCAGTTTTTGGAAACCCTTTAATTCTCATTAGGAATGTCAAATGGTATAAAGTAAGAACAAAATGAAACTTGTTTTATCATCTTTGTGGATATCCAGCTACTCTCGTTATTTCTCCTTATTTGCCTTTAAACATTTCTCCCACTGTTCAATAATCACTGCTCATGAGGAGCACAGTAATGGGCAGAAAAATGCAAGTTACAATCTTGTTAAGTGAACACGGCTGGCATATCAATTATTGAATTGTGGATGGGTCATCAAAAATAAATCAGTAAATGGGATTATGAGATTAACAGGGACTTTATTTTCTGCCTATTCATAGAATTTCATTACAGTTCAGCAAACATTAAAAAATAATAATAACCTATTACCAGCCTATAGACATCATTCTCAGAACTCCAATGCCAAATTTAAGCAATGTAGAAAAGTTAGTTTCTTGGGAATGCCATGACAAAGAAACACAAATATGAAGGTTAAATAAAACAGAACTGTACTCTCTCACAGCTTTGGAGGCTACAAGTCTGAAAGCAGGGTGTCAGCAAGGTCCTGGTGATGTGCTCCCCGAAGGCTCTAGGAGACAATCCTTTGCTTCTCTCAGCTTCTGTTGGTCCCAGGTGATGTATGTCTACCAAGCACAACTCCAGCTGCTGCCTCCACCATCACAAGGCTGCTTCACTCACCAAGTGTGTCTTGGTGTCTTCTTCTGGTGAGCACAGTAGCATCTGGACTGAGGGCCCACCCCAACTCCACAGGAATTTCACTTCAAGAGTCTTCACCAATTACATCTGCAAAGACCCTTCTTCTAAAGGTCACATTAATTTGGGGGGAAAGCATTCATCTCATGACATTGTGTAAAAAATACCATCTCTGTTTTCAACGCAGTAAGGGCTTCAACAAGCCCAAGTTCCATTTAGCCTGAAAAAAATAGAGTAACTCCTCCTCTGAAAGAATTAAAAAAATTTTTTTTTAATGTTCAAAAGAAAAACTAAATCAAACACACAAGAAATCTAGAGTTTAAGCCCTCCCTCTATACTCTAAAAATGATGTAAGTAAACAGAAGAAATATTTTTTGACAGAAACAAAGCATGACAAATTAGTGCTTCATTATTTATATTTTATTACCTACAGAATTAACTTCTGGCCTTTTCATCATCAATGACAATTCAATATAACCTTTCCTAGAACTCAATAACCTTGAAATTTCTGGTTTTTAACAAGAGACTTTTTAAAAAAAAAAAACTCTGTATGTCATTTTAAAAAATATTTACAATCACTTATATATATATTTTTTTAGTTTGGAAGGCAAAACTTTATAACCCTTTTAAAAACGTACAGTGAAATTTGTTACATGGTCAAATATCAACTACCTAAAATAATTTAAGATGCACATAATTTCAAATCCTACATGATAAATGTTCCAATTTGCTTACTCTTCAGGTAATTTTATAAGTAAATTACCAAATTTGAAGATACCATTAGTTGCCTACAAGTTTTTCAAGCTAAAAGAATATATGTGCTTATATATTAGGTATTCTTTCCAAAATACCAAGGTTATATAGTTAGAAGCAGAACCTGCTTTTAAATCTGATATAAAAAAGTAAATATGAACCTACTACATAGAAATGTAAGAGTTAGACAATTTCTTTGGCAGAAAACAATTATAAACAGGTTTTAAATACAATCCATTAGATGATGAAAAATAAAGAATCTTGCACTTCTTACCGATGTCAGTGAAGTTTTATGAAGTCAATAGTTAGTATCACTGTCATACTATCAACAACGTCAAATGCAAAATTCCTTGCGTAAAGCAAAAATAATTTTTAAAAATAAATAATTGCATATATACAATATCATAAATAAATGCCAATATACACTATATAAATGTCATATTTTATTATTTTAAGTTACGTTGGTAAGCTTAATTGGCTGATCCAAATTTAGTGGATAAGCAATTTTTATTATAGTGACTCAAAGAATTAAAACTTTTACACTTCAGGTCACAATTACACATGAAATATTTACACTAAACATTAAAACAACATTGTTACATACAGCTTGGAAGAAGAAATTTAAGATTTTCCACTTAAGCAAACATTAGGTATTATCAAGAACAGCTTTGGGTATAAAGGAACAGAAAATTCGTTTCTTCCAGAAAAGCAAGGTGCCATTTAACAACAGTTTTATAAGCATGTAATTGAATTCACCAAAAAGTAAAACACTGGTGAAAAACAGCAGCTGAGACACTAAAGGTAGGAACTTCAGCAAACAGAATCTGCAATAACATAAAATATGGAAATTAGGCTTTCAAACATGGCATGTATTTCCTTTTAAACATGGACCAATTATTACACTGAATATTCTGTTCCAGGATGAAGCTTCTCTGAAAAAGGAGTATGTTATCAGATTGTTATAAACAGATGAATGACAGAACTCGAACTGTCTTCAAATGTATTCAGTAGAAAAAGTACTTTTTTTAAAAAACGAATGTAAAAATTTTGCTTCCATGCAAAAAGTTTTAACTTTCCAAAACTAAACTTACTGTTCATTAATTCTCTGTCCAAATATCACGTATCCGTACTATATGTTTGCATTTCCTATTTTCTGTTATGTAAGAAGTTGGTAGATGATGAAGTAATGTGCAAATTTTTGAGAAAACAAAGTCAAGCCAATGTGGGGCACAATGGATTAAGCCAACACCTACAATGCCAGCATCCCTTATGGGCACCAAGCTGCTCCATTTCAGATCCAGCTCCTGTGAAGATGCCTAGGACAGCAGTGGAGGATAGCCCCAGGACACAGGAGCCCTGTCACCCACTGGAAGACCCAGAAGGAGTTTGTAGCTTCAGCTTGGCCCAGCCCTGGCTTGTTGTAGTCATTTAGGGAGTGAACTAGCAGGCAGAAGATCACTCTGTCCCTTTCTGTAACTCTCTTTCAAATCAATAAATCTTTTTTTTTTTTTTTGAGACAGCCTCCTCTACCGCTTTATCATTAATTCTCACATTATGTGGAATCTAATATCCTAATAAATGAACTTAAAAACATGAGCCTTGGAGAAATCGCTTCATCAACTCTATTACCTTCTATCAAGCTATTACCTGCTACTATTCCAAAACTTCAGAACTGCTTCTGAAAGAAATGGCCAATTTTTTCAATGGGTTGGAATGCTGATGATTAGCAAAGCTACTTGATTTGATTCTTTAAAGTATTGACACAATGTTGTATGTCAATATATCCACACTTATCCATGTTAAGTATATATCACACCAAATTATTAGGAATGTCTCATGGTTCAAAGTCACACACAATCTGGAGGAGATCCAGGATCTGTCCACCCTACACTGCAGGAAAGAAAACGAACAGACCACATTCTTCACTGCAGAACAGCCAGAGTCCCTTGAAGTTACTAGTAGCAATTCTAAATACCAAGGACACTTTGAGAAGAAGAAAACGCTTCCCCACAGGGCCTGGAAATGTTTTGTGGGAGGGCATTCCTTAGCCCAGTGTCACACATCTGCATTTACAGAAAACATTTTTGTTCCTTCCAAATTGCTCTTACTTCTGTAGACAATTTTATGTTAATTATTACTCAACATAACACTGAGAGCAAAACTGACAGTACTGCAAATACAACTTGCAATTTAAGAAGCCAAAAGAAAATGGCAAACTAAATGCTTAAACAGAAAAGATGTTTGCTTTTTAAAATAACAGTAAGTAGAAACTAAAAAAAAAAAAAAAAAAAAGAAAAAAAGAAAAAAGAAAAAGAAAACACAAAATACTTCAAAAGGTCTTCAGTACTCTTATAATGACATTTTATGGAGAAAACAGTTTCTTAAAATGTTGAGGCTTCTTTCACATATGGTTTAGTGTCATAAGGCTACTTATTAGATATTGAGAGTTTTGCAAAAATCTGACACTAAGACAAAACTGGAAGCATCCCTAAACAGCTTCTGGTAGGAAGACTGACTTCAAACAAACTGGGCTGACAAAATATTTTATGGCCTTGTAAGATAAGCCTTGTGTTTTATTTATTCTTGGCCTTTCTCAGTTGAGAGGACGTTTTCTTTCAGTGTTTTCAAATCAGAATTACAAAGGCTGAGTAATACATTTATGAAGATTTGTGCAAAATGCTTGGTTTGTTTCTAAAGGAGAGGCTGCTGGTGATAATTTGTTTGCTGTTGTGCAACAGAATGAGCTGGAACTGCCACGGGAAAACCTGCCAGCTGCGGCAAGCTGGAGGTAGTGTTCTGGTAAGATGACATCTCCATAGATATCCCCATGTGCTGTGTGTAAGCAGCTGTGCCGGCTGACTGAAGGCTAGAGTTGTGATTCACATAAGCAGGATTAGAAGCAGTGTCTTGTCCAGTGCTACAAACAAAATTTTAGAAAGAAAACTGTATTTATTTTTGCATTATCTACAGTATTTTCACAATCATGACAAAAATACCTTTTCAAAAGAGGACTCTTTGGAAAGAAACTAAGTATATTATTATAATGCCTATTTGGTTGTATTCTCTAACCAGAAACATTCAAAATATCCTTGGAGGAGATACCTCCTCAAAAACACACTGATCCTAACCGTTTATTTGGCCTTACTAAAGTTGAACCTTCAGCCCACAGTCTTTCTTTGGAAAGGTTTAAAATGATTCTCAGGAAAGTCAGCATAAAAAAATTAAATCACAAATTCCACAGCTCAAACACACTTCGCTTTTTAAGACTTGAAGTAACATCAACTTCCCAACTGAGATAAAGATGTCTGAGATTACCTCCATCGGCTGATTAAAGCCCAGTGCTAAGCAGATCCTGAGCTTAGCCCCCACGAGGGACAGTTAGCTTCACCTAGGCTCAAGGAGCTAAACTGCAAAGTTAAGTGTGATTAAGCATTTATCATCATCCTAAAAGACAGGAATCCCACTATTAAGAGAATGGTCTACATACCCTCATTTTGAAAGTCTATGAAAAACTATAAAATTAACAAATTATTTAACTTATCAAATTACAAATTATCTAACTATAAAATTAACAAAACTCCCAGGAACTTACCTTAAATATGGAGTTTGAGCAGTCTGTGTAGTTACAGAGGAATTTACACTTGGAGGCAGAGATTGCAATGCACCCATCTGATCTGGTCCCAGGCTGTAGCTTTGAGCAGCAGACAACTGGTGAAGGCTTTGATCCATGTAGTTTCCGCCATGTGACTGAACTGGGTATGTCTATTAAACAAAAACAAAAAATTGACTCATTGATTTCCCAAATGTCTGTGTAATAACAGGTAAACTCTGAAAGAAAATGCTGAAGTTCTTTGGGGATCAATCTAATCACACTAATCTAACTAGTCCAGTAGGCGGACAGCTTGTAAATCACTGTGCCAAATCCAGGGAACACATGATCTGCTTGGCTTTTCATTTATGTTGCAGGGGTGATAAAGGAGAAGCAGGGGGCTTCTGTACTTTTACATTAGTAGTGAATTAGAATCTATCCAGGTTGCCTGTTACTCAGTAACAAGTCCTGCTACAGTCATTGAAAACTATCTGCGCCCTTGAAGGGAAGGCCCAACGCCTGCCTAACAATGGAGCTTGGGAGAACACTGGGAAAGAAATAGCAGTGTCTTTAGGAGAAGTAAGAAAAAAAATAGAGTTATGGGGAAAGGAGCTGTATCTTCTCAGCAAATGGCAATACTGGTTTAAATCTCTAGGTATTTACATGTGAATTCCTAGGATCTACCATCTGCCTGACGTACACAGCATTGAAAACAACACATATGTTTAATAAAGAACGTATAACAATAATCATGGATTCACTATTATTTTTTTAAGATTTATTTTTTAATTATTTTTTTTTTATTGGAAAGGCGGATATACAGAGAGAAGAGACAGAGAGGAAGATCTTCCGTCCGATGATTCACTCCCCAAGTGAGCACAATGGCTGATACTATGCCGATCCGAAGCCAGGAGCCTCTTCCGGGTCTCCCACGCGGGTGCAGGGTCCCAAAGCTTTGGGCCTTCCTCCACTGCTTTCCCAGGCCACAGGCAGGGAGCTGGATGGGAAGCGGGGCTGCCGGGATAGAACCGGCACCCATATGGGATCCTGGGTGTGCAAGGCGAGGAGCTTAACCACTTGCGCCACCGCGCCGGGCCCAAGATTCACTATTATTTTTTTAAAGCCTTATTTATTTTTATTGAAGGGCAGATTTACAAAGAGAAAGAGAGATGGAGAGAAAAGATATTCCATCAATTGGTTCACTCCACATGGGTAGAAGCCCGGAGCCTGGAGATTTTTATGGGTCTCCCATGTGGGATGGCTTTGGGCCATCATTGACTGCTTTCCCAGGCCACAAGCAGGGAGCTGGATGGGGAGTGGAGCAGCCAGGACTAGAACCAGTTACCCATATAGGATACCAGCATGTGCAGGTAAGGATTTAGCCACTAGGCCACTGTACCAGACCCATGGTTCCACTTTTAAATTAAGATATGTTTAAAGCAAAGCAAAGATCACTTACATGAAAATTTGAAGGCTAGAAACTCCAAAGAAACTATCTACTTGCAATTTTGTTATTTCCTCAGCAGAAATGTGACAACCCACTGACAAGAGAATGCCATTGTAGGAATGGGCCTCTTCTGCTGTCTAGAGATCGGAAGGGTCTTTACAATTACAACTAATAATGTGCTACCCCAACTGCTTCTAGCAGAGGTTTTTATTATTATTATTATCATTATCATTATTATTATTATTTTTAAAATCAGAGTAAGAACTCCTGAATATCTCAAATGCTCTTACAGGTGAACAGAGTATATAGGTTATGGAAAGAGGCAAAAAGTCAGCTTTTTGTAAAAAAAGTTATGCTTGGAAAAACAGACTGTACATAGGATACAACTAAATACAAAAACCTGGCACAGCAACAAACAACCATTTGCAGACACATAAAGAAGCAAGCATGTAGTTCACATATTTCTAATATTCCTACTTTGCTCCATTTCCACAGTGGCAGCAACTTTTGAAAACAAAAGTAATAGTGAAAAAAATCTGTCTCTTGCACTCAGAAATCCATCTATCCTCATATGTAATTTTCAAAAAGTTCAGGGTATGACATATTTGATAAATGCATCTTGCCTGATATGACAGTTACCATAGTAACTAATCTTTTTTTACTTAGCAATTATGTAGTGTTAAGTCATCTAATCTATTCACCCACATTCTACTTTTTCTCCTTGGTGTCTCCTTCACATATTGCTTTAAATACCAGTTTTCAGAAATTAATACAAACCTTGTTTATCCAGTTTATTCTGAATTCAATCACTAACTGGCTAAAAATCACAAAAAGGTGATACTGATGCTTTTTCCAAAAAAAATATTTTAGTTATCTTTTATTGGAAAGTCAGATATACAGAGAGAAGGAGACACAAGAGAGAAAGATCCTCCATCTGCTGGCTCACTCCCCAAGTGGCTGCAACAGCCAGATCTTTGCTGATCCAAAGCCAGCAGCCCAGACACTTCCGGGTCTCCTATACTGGGGCAGGGTCCCAAGGTTTTGGGTCATCCTCGACTACTTTCCCAGGTCACAGGAAGGGAGCTGAATGGAAAGTGGAGCAGTTGGGACACGAACCAGCACTCTAGCACATGCAAGGCAAAGACTTTAGCCACCAGGCTACTGCACCGGGCCCATTCCCCACCCCTCATTTTTAGTGGAAAGGCAGATATATGGAGAGGAGGAGATACGGAAAAGAAAGATCTTCTGTCTGCTGGTTCATTCCCCAAGTGGACACAATGGATGGAGCTAAGCCAATCTGAAGCCGGGAGCTTGGATCTTCTTCCAGGTCTCCCTTGTGGGTGCAGGGTCCCAAGGCTTTGGGTCATTCTCTACTGCTTTCCCAGCCACAGGCAGGAAGCTGGATGGAAAACAGAGCAGCTGGGACATGAAACCACACCCATATGGGACCTCTGCTGTTGCAAGCTGAGGATCTGCCCAGTAGGCTATCACACTGGGTCTTCAATATTGATGCTTTAAGTACTCATTTCAGCTGTCAAGGACCAAAATGTTATAAAGTAATAGAAAAAGATGTTTATGGGTGGTTTACTTGAATCTATCTAGCAATATTCATGAACAATTTAAGACATGTATCTAAGAAGAAGAAATATAAAGCATACCTAAGAATAAAGATACTGAAGTTCAATAACTAAACCCTTTTAAAAATCATCTAAGTCCGGGAAATATGTAAACGATAAAAGATTTTTAAAAGGAGCACTACTTTGTTCGTGATGAGCAACAGGAAGAGCAGCAGTACCTCATCCAGAGGACTGTGTAAAATTTTTATTTTTTGAGATGAAGCAAGACATGTAACATACAGAGCAAGAGGAAAAACGGGGGAGAGGGGTTGGAGGAGTGGAGAGAGAGCGCGAGAGAGAAAATCCAATCCACATCTCCCACTTGGAAACCCAACTACCTGAGCCATCACTGCTGCCTCCGAGCATCTGCAGTGGCAAGAGGTTAGTCAAGAAGTGACTCTAGACACGCTAACACAGGGTACAGGCAGCCTGACTACCCGCCACCCCTTCACACAAAGGACTTGGGATACACCAAGACTACCCTAAATGAAAGGGTTAAGTTCTCCCTAAGCTTTTGCATATCGGAGTGCTGGTTCAAGTTCTAGCTTTTCTGTTTCCAATCCGGAGGGCAGCAGATGATGGTCCAAGTGTCTGTAACTCTGCCATCCTGATGTGGGAGTCCGGCACGGAGTTCTGGGCTCCTTGCTTCCATACAACTCAGCACTGGCTGGGGTGGACACTTGGGGGAAACCAACAGATGGAAGAGATTTTCCTCTTTTCTCACTCTGCTTTTCAAGTAAATAAACATACACAAATAAACAAAAAATGTGTGGTTTAAGAAGTCAAACAACAATGTTTTGTGGAGACAGATGCTTTGTCTAGCAGTAGAAGTATGGCCTGGAAAGCACACATCCCAATCTGAGGTGCCTGCTCTGAGTTCTGGCTCTGCTGCTTCTGGTGCTAATTCCTGCTGGTGTGCACCGTGGGAGATACTTAAAGGATGACAGCTCAATTACGGGAACCCCGGATACCCATGTGAAAAACCACAACTCAGTTTTGTGTTCCTGGGTCCAGCCTGGCCCATCACACTGGTAGTTTGGCATTTGGGGAGTGAAGCAGCAGATGGAAGACCTCTCTGCTTTTTGAATAAAGTACAAAGAGCTTAAAAAATTTTCCTCCTGGGACCCAGCGGTGTGGCCTAGCGGCTAAAGTCCTCGCCTTGAACACGCCAGGATCCTATATGGGTACCGGTTCTAATCCCAGCAGCTCCACTTCCCATCCAGCTCCCTGATTGTGCCCTGGGAAAGCAGTTGAGGATGGCCCAATCTTGGGACCCTGCACCTGTGTGGGAGACCCAGAAGAAATTCCTGGATCCTGGCTTCAGACCGGCATAGCATCAGCCGTTGCGCTCACTTGGGGAGTGAATCATCGGATGAAGATCTTCCTCTCTGTCTCTCCTCCTCTCTGTATATCTGACTTTCCAATAAATAAATAAATCTTTAAAAAAAATTTTTCCTCCTACAATTTTATTATTTTACTTAATTGGAAAGATGAAGTGACACAGACAAACAGAAACAGCAAATCTTCCATCCACCGGTTTAATCTCCTCAATACCGAAAACAGCCACAGTTAGCCAGAAACTCAGAACTCCATGCAAATCTTTCAAGTGGGAGGTAAGGGTCCAAGCACTTGAGCTCTCATCTGCTGCCTCGCAGGATGCATCAGCAGGAAGGTGGATTGGAAGTGAAACAGCTAGGACTGGCACCTGCACCGATAAGAGATGCAGGTAATCCAAGCAGAGGGTTAATCCATTGCATCATAATTCCCATCCAAATGGATAAAAGATCTTTTAAATATATTTTAAACACCAATATCTAATTTGTTATGATAAACTTTATTTAGCTAACACTTCTCAAAACTATCCAGGTTTGAACATAATAATAACTCAATAGACCACAGAAAGTTTAATACTATAAAACATTGTTTTAAAATTTAATACTATTTTGCAAACTTTTGTCTGAAAAACATTCTGAAAACATATGCTCACCTGCCCTGGAACTGCAGCTGACGTAGGTGGGTAATGTGCTGGAGGATGGAGCTTTGGATACACTGAATACACTGGTGCTTCATTCATCAATTTGTTATATAGCTCCAGAGCTTCCAAAACTTTCACATTTAATTCAGACAATTCTGAGTGCTTCCTGATATAAAAGAGAAGCATTTTAATATTCTTCTAGGCTGTAGGCATACATTTAGTAACAAATTATTTTTTAAACTTAGCACACACTTTCTATTCATATTTTTAGAGGTTCTTTTGCATATACAATGAATGAATAAGGATTCTTATAATAACTATCCTGATACAGCCAGGACTTCATTATATTAGAATAAAATCCTTTCCATGCCTCACAAAATGGAATCAACTCATACAAGATTTTAGTGCTGGATGAATTTAGCATTTTGAGTGTTTCTAGTGAATACTCAACTGTAAAGAAAAAAACAGTTTCTAAATTCAGGTAACAGATAAAGCTTTAATTCTATACCTCAGTGAAATACAATACTCAGGCAAGGCTCAGGGTCTCTGTAAGTGATAACAGGACTAAAATAAAAGCACACTCATAAAGAGAACACATCCACATTTTCATTTATGTCCATGCAGGGATCTACTGCAAAAATTAGTCAAATAATTAAAGATAACGTATATCTAAATTAGCACTAACTGCTGCTGTTCAGGGTGAGTTGTTTTTGAGAAAGTGAAACCAGATGCCTTATTGTATAATAACAAATCCAAAGAACACTTTGAAATTTGCCAGAGGAACTCTAGGGAAAATCTTCTGACTTGGTACAATTTTATCTGTTCCATGGGAATAATAAGCAACTCTCTTTGCTAGTGACAACCTTAAAGTATAAATAGTCACTTTTTACCTAGTCTACAGCTTCTACAAGCCTGTTATTGAACGTGGTTCTTTCTCTATGAACACAGGCAAGAGGTAGGCAAACAAAGGGTTTCCGGGTAAACGACCTTTACAGTCCTATGACCTTTCCTCCGGTGCAGTTTATCATGTCTGACTCCTTACAAAGTGCTATTCATCCTCTTGCATGAAAGACTATAAAACAGGACAGTCTCTACTTTTAGAGTGGTTGTAACCACTAAGGAAGCTATAGAAATTAAGTGTCAATGCTAATAAATGTATAAGAAAGAACTAAGATTATTCAGCCATCAAAAAAAAAAAAAAGAAATTATACAATTTGCAACTAGATGGTCCCAATTAGAGACCATTATGCTCAATGAAACAAGTCAATCACAAAAAGAGAAATACCATATGTTCTCTCTAATATAAGGAATCCATCATGCAAATTGGAATGTACAGTGGTGGAGTAATGGAAGCTACTATATCCAGAAGTGAAGGCACAATGCAACATGCGTCTTTGCTTCCAAAGGAAAGATGGACTCTAATGACAGTGTTGGCTATATCTAGAAAATGGGATGATGGACTGTACCAGCAATGTCAGGGCACACTTAAATAGCAGACTGATGGAATTGTAACTCTTTATGAAGAGTTGTGACATTATGGGAAAAATCAATTGAGGGGGGTGGAAAATAGGGGGAGGGGAATCCCAAACTATATATGAATTTGTATGATAAATTACAAAAACAAAAAAGAATGAACTAAGAATTTGGTCCACATAACCTAGTATGCTGATGACACACTATACAGTAGAACAACACAGTAGAAAGCCATTGTTACTGTGAGTTTGAAGTCGCATTTAAATGCTCAAGACGTAACTTCAAAGCTGTGTAACAAACTGTTACTGAACTGTGCCCAACACTATGTAAGGTTCCCTTTCATGGAGACTGTAAAATATTAGGAAAGAAGGTTAAGAACAGGAAAATCACCAAGGAACAAAAGGTAGAATAAAATACAAAATTATATAACATGGGTAAAGAACAGAAGAATTTAAGAGAAAATTAATCTGAGCTGTGGTAAATTGAGAGGGACTTATTGAAAAATTGAGACTCAAGCCAGCTCCTGTGGAAGGATCAAAAGGCCACGCAGAAAAGGAACCCAATGACACATCAGGAGGTAGTGGGAACAGGTGGGCAAATCAACACTCAGGGTACACAGGAGGAGTAATCTGACCAGGGTGGTATACTGGGCAAGGTAGTAAGATTGGAGCTTCTAGAACATGGTTAAGTCCTGACTATGGATTTCTCTTCACTATCTAAGCACTTTGGACTCAATTTATATGTTTACACAATGTAATTTATTATTGTGGTAAGTGCTATGCAATTTCACTTGGATCAATGACAGAAGGGCAATGCAACATTTAATTATTTGACAGTAGCATTGTTTTTCTTAGTTAAAAAAGAAAGCAACTGATGACCTTTTCAAGAGAAGAGCCAGTATTTTATACATTTCTCAGCAGTGGATAAGTATAAACAGTTAATACAAATCTATTTAATCTCATTTTTTGTATTATCATAAATAACATTATGATGAATACTCTGAGTAGTTAACTTTACATATATCCCCCGTGAACTTAGTATTGGCTTGAAATTGCTAAGTAAAAAGAAAATGGACTATTTGTTGGCACTAGAGAAGTTTATAATTATATTCCCAGCCTCACCTATGGAAATACTGACCCCTGTTCTGTTTAATGTTTTTGATCATTCATCAACTATTACCTTTGCAAATAAACAAATTAGAAGATATCTAAGTAGATCGTTGACGCTTTCTCTGAAAACAGGGGTGAGGAACTTTCTTTCAGCTAAGGACCATTTAGATATGTATAACATTCATTCACAGGGCATAAAAAATCATTAACTTAAAACTTGGCCTACTATAGATTTTTTTGAATTTCAAGTACCCTTAGCAGGGCTAGATCAAATGATTTCAACAGATTTATTGGGGCCTTGGGTCAGGTGTTCCCTAACCCCAGTTCAAAAGATGATCAAATTAGCACCATTACCATCACTGCTTAGCTGTAATAGGGACTGATTTTTCATTACTGTACAAATAATGAAGACTTTTTAAAAACAGTTTCATGCAACTAAGATAATCATTTCCAGCAGCTGAAGTGTTGCTGTGACAGCACTGCGCCACAGAGGTGGAACAGCAGTAGAGCACTTCCTATCCGCCTGAACACCTTGGTCCTCCCCGATCCCTGTTTATACAGTGGTTCACTAAACAAAGCTCCAAAGGAGCTAAAGGACTACTAAGGCCCTTTCTCTTGCATTTCATTCATTCTGGCTTTTCCTCCTCATTACAGAGAGCTCCAAGGAATGTGAGAAGGCAGAACTACGTTAACAGTTCATAACATGGGATGTTGTCTGTCCTTCAGCGCTGCTAATAGTTCTAAAGAATACTCAAGCTAAGTAGGATAAGATTAAAAGCGACGGACACACAAAAACACAAGGAAGCAATGGAAGAAATGGTGCTGCAATGGATTTAGCTTCAGGAATTAAGAAAAATTTCATGGAAATCTTTATAGAGGCCACTTCCTGCACAAAACAAGTCAATGTCTGTTCAGGTTGATCCCAGGTTTCACTATTAATTATTCACTTTTTGGGATTCATTTTTTTTTTTATTGGAAGGTAAGATATACAGCAAGGAGGAAAGAAAGAGAGGAAGATCTTTTGTCCACTGATTCACTCCCCAAGTAGCCACAATGGCCGGAGCTGAGCTGATTCGAAACCAGGAGCCAGGAGCTTCTTCTGGGTCTCTCATGTGGGTGCAAGATCCCAAGGCTTTGGGCTGTCCTTAGCTGCCCTCCCAGGTCACAAGCAGGGAGCTGGATGGTAAGAGGGGTCGGTAGCCAAATGGGATCCCAGCTGTTGCAAGGCAAGGACTTTAGCCACTAGGCTACTGCACCGGGCCTTCTCTATTCACTTTATTCTTCACTGGACATTATCTTTTAAACTCTATTTCAAGTAAGAAAAAGACTGGCACAAAAGAGCAAGAGTCCATATTTGCAAACACACTATCGTGCAACACATGCAAGACTGAAGGCACTGTTGTGTTACTAATTCCCAACAAGAGGTTAGGAAGCTGAAAACACAATTTCAACAGAGTGCACAGTCACAGAAAAAAAAAAATTCTGGTAGTTTAAAGCTTGCCAAAAACAAGTAAATCTATAGAAATTACACATTTTATTCTATGCAAAAAAAAAAAAAATTCACCTATCGATTTCTTCAAGTTTTTCATCTATCATTGGACCCATTTGCTGGCAGGTATCTGTAAATACAAAAATGCTTACAAACTTAAAAAGCTTATCCAGTTTAAGGCAATAACAGCAATTTTTACCAGAGTAATAATATATAGCATCATGTAGAACACACAGAAAATTACCTTTTTTCTAGAGAAAGAATTATACAGCACCTTTACTAAGTACAATTACTATTACAGTTTCAAAAGCGCTATCAAGAGTAAAATAAAATCTCATCATATCCTTTGTCATCAATAACTAAGTTTGCAGACTTTCACATTGCATACTAAAGTCTTAAAAATATCTCTAAAACTTACTAAGTGGAGACACATCGTGCAGTATATGACCACATACAGATTAGATATGGGCAGTTTTCATTTAAGACCTTCCAAATTTAACTATTTTATGACTCCATATATAGTACATATACAATGAGAAGCACAATATTCTACATTCATAACCAGAATTTTAAAACAAAATTATTTTTATTGGAAAGGCAGATTTGCAGAGATGAGACAAAGAGAATACTGGTTCACTCCCCAAATGGCCACAATGGCCAGAGCTGAGCCAATATGAAGCCAGGAACCAAGAGCCTCCTCTAGGTCTCCTACACGGATACAGTGGTCCAAAGCTTTGGGCCATGCTCAACTACTTTTCCAGGCCACAAGCAGGGAGCTGGATGGGAAGTGGAGCAGCAGAGACACGAACTGGTGCCCATATAGGATGCTGGCACTTGAAGGCAGAGGATTAGCCAATTGAGCCATCATGCAGGCCCCAACCAGAATCTTTTTTTTTTTTTTAATTTTATTAATTGCATTGCATTATGTGACACAGTGTTATAGGCACTGGGATTCCCCCACCTCTCCCCGAACCCTCTCCCCTTGCTGCGTTACCACAGTTCAAATTCAGTTGAAGTTCTTTCATTGGAAGTATTTACCAAGCATAAAGTCCAGTGTCTTATTATCCTAGTGGGTTCAACGATTTCTTGGTGAGACCATCTCTGGTCTGAAGGTAAAACCAGCAAAGCATCATCCCAATCAATTAAAGGCCCCGACATAACATCAACAGCCATTTACAACCTCATGGCATCAATTGACATGACATTGATTAATAATATGTTGATAGGAAGATGCGGTTTCTTAACTACATCCTGTGACTTCTTCATAGACATTTCAATTTTGCCCAATCAGACTCTTTTTATAAAGATTTATCCACTTACTACATTTTAGCTCAAAAATGGGTTTATTTTAAAGGCTTATTATTTTTATTAAAAATTCAAACTTACAGAGAGAAAGATCTGCCACTCAGTGGTTCACTCCCCAAGTGGCTGCAATGGCCAGAATTAAGCCCATCTGAAGCCAGGAGCCTGGAGCTTCTTTTTGGGTCTCCCACGCAGGTGCACTTTCCCAGGGTTTTGGGCTGTCCTCCACTGCCTTCCCAGGCTACAAGCAGGGAGCTCGAAGTGAAGTAGAGCAGGTGGAACACAAACCAGTACCTATAAGGGATCCCATGTATGCAAAACAAGGACTTTATCCACTAGGCTACCATGCCAGGCTCTTAAAAATTTTTTAAAAGCATAGTAGTGGGTAAATTTTTGCCTTGCATCCAACAGGATCCCATATGGGTGCTGGTTCATATCCCAGCTGTTCTAGATCCCTTCCAGGTTCTTGCTTGTGGCCTGGGAAAGCAGTAGAGGAAGGCCTAAGGCCTAGGGACCCTGCACCCATGTGGGAGACCCAGAAGAAGCTTCTGATTCCTGGCTTCAAATCAGCTCAGCTCTGACCATTATAGCCATTTATGGAGTAAACCAGAGGATGGAAGATCTTTCTGTATCTCCTTCTCTCTGTATATTTGCCTTTCCAATTAAGAAAAAAACAGTAAATTGCTCCAAATTTCTAAAATATATCAGCATCAGCATGCATCAAAATGGCTACATTACAAAGTTAACCTTGATCGCATATAATTTGGACCTTTAACATTTCAATTCAATTAACTTAAACATGCTGTTATTTTTAATATTGTCCTTTTTTGGACTGCAAATCTCGTTAGCCAACCTCCCTATTGGACTTATAAAAATACGAAGACTTCCTTTTGAAAAGAATATACAATTATAATTTCTTCCAAATGATTTTTAACCTCTAGAAGTAAACACCAGGCAGAAAGTCAGGTACATTTCTAACTTTCACTAAGTACCTTCTAAGTCCAGGAGATCTTGGGAATCTGGTCTTGAATCTGCTGGATCTATACTCTGGAGTACCTGCAGTACTCTATCCATCTTATCCTAAAAAAGTAACAAAAGACACTCAAAGTCAAAAGAGTTTAACTTCAGCCAGTGTAAAATTGCTCTTTCCACACATTATGAAGGAAAATATATTTTAAGACTCTTGACAGTTTAAATGTTAGAGTAAAAGGAGAATCCTACCTCATCTATATAAACAGGCTCTGGCTCTGATTTCTTAATTTCTTCCACATCATCAATGACATTCAATTTCTCCACAGCTGCTATGGAAGCAAAGTAACTTTAAGTTTCTCAGCATTAACTCTGGTAATTTAATCATTAAATTATAAGTGGCTTATGATTATTCATAAGTAAAAAATGAAAATCCTTTAAATGATCATCACATTTCACAAACAATACTGTTATTACATATTTTCATTCAGTCATGACAAGTCTTTATGTAGTAGTTCAGTAATATTTACTATAATCTGCCAGTTATGATTCTAGGCATTTATACACATACACCAAGGAAAAACTCACAAGAATCCCTGCCTTCAGGGAGCTTACAAAAAGCATTCCATAAAAAAAGCTGAATAATAATCCACAAATAAACATACCAACAAAATTAAATGTAACCTGGATTACTACCACAATGTACTATTTTAATCAACTCAGACTATTTTTATCATAATTTTACTTTTATTTTGCTAAATACTTTTTTTTTTTGGAAAGAACTACAGAGAAGGAGGGAGATACAGAGACAGACAGATCTTTCATTGCTGGCTTACTCCACACTGGGTCAGGCATGAACCAGTGCCCTTGTGGGATGCCAGCGCCATATACTATGCTTTTACCTGTTATGTCGCTGTCTGTCCTAGGTTTGTATTTCATTTATTTTTAAAGATTCATTTTTTTTTTTAGTTGCAAAGGCAGATCTACAGAAAGAAGAAAAGACAGAAGGAATTTCCATCTGCTGGAACCCAGGAGCCAGGAGCTTCCTCCAGGTCTCCCAAGTGGGTGCAGGGTCCCAAGGCTTTGGGTCATCATCTACTGCTTCTCCAGGCCACAAGCAGGGAGCTGGATAGAAAGTGGAGTAGCCAGGCGTACATATGGGATCCTGCTACATGTGAGGCAAGAATTTAGCAACTGAGCCATCACACTGGGTCCTTCCCCTGGTTATTTTGTTTATTTCAAAGGCTGACTGATCCAGAGAAAGATCTTCCCTCTACTGTATCACTCTGCAAATGCTAGCAACAGCTAGGGATGGGACAGGCCAAGGATAGGAGCCAGGAACTTTATCTTGGTTTCTATGTGGGTGGCAGAGAACCAAGCCCTTAAGCCATCTCTTGCTGGTTTTTCGAGCACAGCAGCAGAGAGCTTGATTGGAAGCAAAGCAATTGGGACTCAAACTGGTGGTCCTACACAGGATGACAGTATTTCAGGCAGCGGCTTAATCTAATGAGTCACAATGTCACAGGATTTCAAGTGGGTTCTGGGACCGATATGAGATCAATAAATCCTGTTATTTAAAACAAAGTTACATATCAATCTGATTATTACTCAAAATGATTATTAAACTTGAGTGGAAAAAAAAAAACCACCTAGTAGACTTGACCTTTTCTAAGCTTTCACTTACCTGCCTCAGATTCCATGTTTAAATCAGCTGTCACAAAATTAGATGGGAAGAGTCCTACTCCTCTGTGGTTTTCTCCTTTCCACCAATTGGCATCACTGGAAACACAGTGGAAGAGTGTCATTTTAGCATGTTAGTGTTAATAGAAATTAAAATAAAAATTGACTTGGCCTACTATGAAAATATCAGTTCATAAGCAGGCATATCTAAAGGCTTCTCTCCTAAATTTAATAAAAGACATTATAAACTACAAATGAAACAATCACCCATATGCTTCTATCTAAATTTAGTTCCAATAAGAATTAGTTATATTTGACCTGGGCTTTTAATAAGATAAAAAGTTCACTGAAGTTGTCTTTATCATTATTCCAAGCCTCAATCCTACATCACCATCATAAAGCAATAATGCAGCCATCTTGACATTCTGCACTTTTACCTTTTGGATGTATCCATACAGCCAACACTGTAGAAACTAATATACATATAAGTGTTAAAGTATTAATTGTAAGTATTAATATACATATAAGTATTAAAGTATTAATTGTAAGTATTAACAGATCTTTTATATTTCATTTATTAACACTTTCAGATTTGGTTTGTCCTTTGTATGTTCTGTTGCATGAACATGCTATGCTTCATTCAATTGTGTACACATGTGGCCATTTAGGTTTCTGCCAGTCTTTCATCGTTACAAAGACTGGGCACAGCAAGATTTGAAAGCACACATACAACAGTTTGTCTCTCTCTCTCCCTCTCTGCTGATTAAATAAACATTTAAAAAAAAAAAAAAAACCCTTCCAGGATAAGCAGTTCTTCAAGCACTTGAATGTGCTACTTGGCATGCTCACACCTCACCCCGGAGTATCTAGCTTGAATCCAGGCTCTACCTCTGATCACAGTCTCCTGGGGTTATGGCTCAAATAGTTGCCATTCATATGAGAGATCTGGAGTGAGTTTCGTATAGCAAGCTTTAGGATGGCCCAGACCTGACTGTTGTAGGCACCTGAATAGTAAACAGTAAAAAAAATCCCTCTCTTTTCTCTCTCTCTTTCCCTCTCTTTTCCTAAAATGAAGAAAAACCAACAACAACTAAAACTAAAACTAAAACAAAATCACACTCACAAACTGATAAACTCGTTGAAGCCTATTCAAAGTATAGTCTGGGCCACAGACTATATAAGCATCTTCAATTTTACCAGATGCCATACATTCCCTAGAGGGCTGTGGAAACTCACTTTCCAGCAGCATCTAAAAACTTCTTTGATCCCTAAACATGATAGCTGTCCAAACCTACACTTGATACCAGATGTGAGAAAAATCATATTTAACTGTACCTATCTGCATTTCTCTAGAACCCACTTGTGTTTGCTATTTACAGTTTTTATCCACTTTTCTTCTTCCACTGGGTCATTTGTCATCAAAACTGCATTAATGGTTGGGGGTGAAAATATTCTACATTAGTATGACTTACTAATGTGATCACATGCAGTTGTTGTATGTTCAAATAAAACCTACACTATCATTTTTTGAAGGCTGAAGATCTGACGTATATGAAAACTGCTGTAAGCTCAACTTTTTAAAATGGAAAGTTCAGCTTAAAAAAATTTCTATGAAAGAATTTCTCTTATTCTACAGACAGCAGCAGCTATGAATCTCATTGCTGTCATACCACAGTTATTTTCTAGTTTTCAGGATCTGAGTAGGGGTAGGTGTTTAGCCTAGAAGTTAAGATGCAAAGCAGAATGCCCATATTTCACATCAAAGGACCCACACTGAATCAATCAGTGGCTCTGGCTTCTAATTCCTCCTTCCTGTTAATGTGTCTTCTTTCTTTATACCATTGACTATTTTTCTTTCTTTTTTTTTATTTTGGACTTGATGATCACTTACCAGTTTTAACTTTCCATTGATTCTCTACAGACATTTTACACGATCAATTATAATACCTAGAAATAAATATAATCCTGTCTATTCATTTCCAAAAATCTGACTTTTTAAGAGGCCAGCACGATGGCTCAACTGGCATACAACTGGCACAATGGTTCAAGAACCAGTATCTCATACTGGTTCATGTCCTGATTGCTCCACTTCTGGTCCAGCTCCTTGTTTACGGCCTGGGAAAGCAGGGCAAGATGGTTCAAAGCACTGGGAATCTGCACCCACATGAGACCCAGAAGAAGCTCTTGGCTCCTGGCTTTGGACTGGCTGAACTTCAGCCATTGTAGCCATCTGGGGAGTGAACCACCATATGGAAGATCTTTCTCTTTGTATATCTCCTTCTCTTTGTAAATGCCTTTCCAATAAAAAAATAAATACATCTTTAGAAATTTTGATTCCTAAACAAACAAACAAAAATGGAAGAAAGAATAATAGAAAGACAGGAAAAAACAAGGCTCCTTGGCCTGCAGAAAATGCTGTGTATGCTTCTAGACTGTAAGATTTAGGCTGGTTTTTTTTTGTTTGTTTGTTTTGTTTTTTTGTATTTCATGTTTACATGCATCTTGTATTCTCCCTGAAAGAAAATAAATTTTTACTTTTTAAATTGAAAATAATAACAATAATAAAGAACAGAAAAAGAAAAGACAGGAAGTAACAGAGATCTTCCACACAAAAGTCCACTCCCCAAATGGTTATAATGCCTGAGGCTGGACCAGGTCAAAGCCAAATGACAAGAAATATATCTGAGTCTCCCACATGACCTGCTTTTCTGCTGCTTTCTCAGGAGCATCAGCAGGAAGGATAACTGGAAGTAGTCTCCAGGACATAAACCAGCATTCCAACATAGAATGCCAACAACACCAAGAGGCAGCTAAACCTGCTGCAACATAATGCTAAAACCCCAAATCTGATATATTGATAGACATTAGTAAGGATGTCTTAAGGAAAAGCTTTTTAAAAATGTGGTGTTTCACTGATTTATTTGGGAAACAGAGAGAGTCCCATCTACTGGTTCATTTCTTCAATGCCTACAGCAGTCAGAACACTGACGATGGAAGCCAAGAGTACCCGCATGGGTGGCCAGGACTCAATACCAAAGCCATCATCACTACTTCACAGTATACATGTCAGTAGGAAGGTGGAACCATGAGCCTGAGCGAGGGATCAAATCTAGGTCTCTGAGTGCGAGACAAAGGCACTCCACCCCACCACCGTAACAGCTGGACCAAAGCCTCACCCTGACTCAAGTTCTGAAACTGGGAAATAACTGATGCACTGGCAGTTCTAAGACTCAGAGATGCTCATGTCTACATAAACAGGGGAAATTTTTCAACAGTTTTTAAAGTTGAACTTTCTATTTTAAAAAAGGGAAGCTGCACTTATACAACTCTCACCTAAAAGTAGAGAGCCTAAATCTGTGAAATGTGGAGTGAACCGGCAAAGGCACAATGTCTGTTGTCCCTGTCTCTCCCTGCCCACCCCAGTCCGTCTTTACTCTTCCCTTACAAAAAATCTTCTCTTTTAAAGCTGCAAAACAACCAAATGGCACATTAAAGCATGCCCCTCCTCTTCTATCAACTGATACTATGGAATGCTAAAGATACAAAATATTGTTCAATGAAATCTTAAGTTAAACTTATAAATATAAAATTCTATAGAAGGCATCTGATAAAGAAAATCGTGGTGTTTATATTCAGAGTCTTTCAAATTAAGAACAATTGGGGCAGGAATTTGGCTTAGCAATTAAGATGCCAACCAGAACACCCGCATTCTACACTGGAACACGTGGGTTCCTCTGCCTGCTGCAGCTGCACCCACAAAGGCAGTAGGGATGGCTCAAGGACACATACTTGGATAATTCAGGTAACATAAAAAAGTAATTATAGAGAGGATAACTCCTAACTCCTGGGAGCTGAGAGCAGGGAAGACTTAAAGGCTTCTAAGATGTAGAATCTGATGAAGGTTTTAAGGATTTAGTTAACTCGCCAAGAGGAAAACAAAATCAAGAGGATGGGAATAAAAATGACACTTTGTTGTCACCATGGACAAGCAAGAAAAATATGTAATTCGCACTTGGAGATAAGCAAAAAGCGAAATATATTTTCTGCATGCTTTAATGTTTCAAAGGAAAACTTGAGCCTTTAACTAAGCTACTGACTTCATTACAAAAAGAAGTCAACTGCAGCTGGCATGAGGACTCAACTGAATGATCCTCAGCCTGTAAGCATCACTATCCCATATGGGTGCTGGTCTGTGTCCACATTGCTCTGCTTCCCATAGAGCCCCCTGCTTATAGATGGGGTGAGCAGAGGAGGATAGCTCAAGGCTTTGGATCCCTGCACCTGCATAGGAGACCTGGAAGTGGCTCCCGGCTTCTGGCTTTAGATCAGTTCAGCTATGGCAGCTGTTGCCATTTTGGGAATGAGCCAGCGAATAAAAGATCTCTCTCTCTCTCTACCTCTCCTCTGTAAATCTGCCTTTCCAATAAATATAAAATAATCTTAAAAACAAACAAACAAACAAACAAACAAAAAACTTGTTGGGCCCTGCGCAATAAGTCCTTGCCTTGTATGGGCTGGGATCCCATATGGGCACCAGTTCATATCCCGGCAGCACTACTTCCCATTCAGCTCCCTATCTGTGGTCTGGGAAAGCAGATGAGGATGGCCCAAAGATTTGGGACCCTGCACCCATGTGGGAGACCTGGAAGAAGCTCCTGGCTTCGGATCAGCTCAGCTCCATCTGTTGCAGTCACTTGGGGAGCGAATAAAACGGAAGACCTTACTCTGTTTCTCCTCTTCCTATATATCTGATTTTCCAATAAAAATAAATCTTTAAATGGCAACAGTTAACATAAGTGATACACTTCATGCACATAATAATCATGTGAGAAAAGCAGGTATTTCTACCATGAACATACAAATAGTAAACTGAGAAATTGTGGTGATCTTGACTCTCTTAAACTTCCAGGCTTATTTTACAAATGGAGAGCGCACATTCTGAAGCCTGCATCCTTCTGCAAACCTTTCATGTAAGCAAAGTTCCTTTTCTTTTCTAAATGCTTTTATCTTCCCTGACAGATATTTTCCAGGCAGAACAAAAGGTGCAATGCTACAGAAGTTTAATCAAAGCATGGCATATTTGGAACTGCAAAGAATTCTACTTGATTATTTGAAATGATATACAGAAGGCAAACAAGGAATGGTGATAAGACTAAAACTGTAGACAGTAAAAGTATTTTGGCATCCTCTTGTTCATGAGAAATGTGCACCTTTTCTATCAGTGCAGTATGTGTGTTTCATCTCTCCTTTTTTTTTTTTTTAAAGATTTATTTATTCTCATTGCAAAGTTAGATATATATATATAGAGGAGGAGAGACAGGAAGATCTTCCATCTGATGGTTCACTCCCTAGGCCAATGCAACGGCCTGAGCTGCGCCAATCCAAAGCCAGGAGCCAGGATGTCTTCTAGGTCTCCCATTTGAGTGTTGGGTCCTCAGCTGTTTTCATCCACCCTCATCTGCTTTCCCAGGCCACAAACAGGGAACTAGATGGGAAGTGGGGCTGCCGGGATTAGAACCTGTGCCCACAAAGGATCCCAGGGAGTGCAAGGCGAGGACTTTAGCCTTTAGGCCAAAGGGGTCATCATCTCTCTCTTTTTAATTATCTTTATTTGGAAGGTAAGAGAGAACAATGGACAGATAAAAAAGCAATTCCCATTCTGGATTCATTCCCCATTGCCCAATAGGTGAAGCTGGGCCAGGACAAAAGCCAAGAGTTTGAGAACTCAATCTAGGTATCCCAATTGAGTGGCAGGGATGCAAGCATGACAGCCATCACCAGCTGCTTTCCAGAGCGTGTGTTTGCAGGAAACTGGAATTGACAGTGGCTCTTGGTCTCAAATGCAAACACTTGGATGTGGAATTCTCAAACAAAAATGGTTTTATATGAGTCTAAGTTATTCACTGCATATGCGGAGATATCTATCTACACACACACACACACACATATATATATATATATATATATACACTCCTTTTTAAAGATTCAGTTATCTTACTGAAAAGGCAGATTTGCAGAGAGGAGATAGATCTTCCAACCACTGGTTCATTCCCCAAATGGCCACAACAGCCAGAGCCGAGCAAATCTTAAGCCAAGAGCCAGGAACCTCTTATGGGTCTCCCAAGTGGATATGAGGTCTCAAGGCTTTGGGCCATTCTCCACTGCTACCCTAGGCAGGGACATGGTTAGGAAGTGGAGCAACCGGGACATGAACCTGCAGTCATATGCGATGCTGGTGCTGGCAGGTGGAGGCTTAATTTAGCTACTGCAGTGGCCCCATACATAGTCTTTTCTTAGTAAGAATTTCCTATAGCAAGGTAATTAATCCTATTATGTGTCTATTTAAAATAGACTAGATTACTATGTCCTTACAAAGTTATTTATAATGGATACCAAATATATTTGCACTTCCCTTTCATAGCAGCAAGCTGTCATACCTCACCCTTGCCTAATTCATCAGCCTCTTAAAAGTAAATATCAGAGGCCTCACATAGTAGCCTAGTAGCTAAAATCCTTGCCTTGTATGCACCGGGATCCCATACAGATGCTGGTTCATATCCTAGTGGCCCTGCTTTCCATCCAGTTTGCTGCTTGTGGCTTGGGAAAGCAGTTAAGGACGGCTCAAAGCCTTGGGACCCTTCACCCGAGTAGCAGACCCAGAAGAGGCTCTGAGCTCCTGGCATTTTATTGGCACAGCTCCAGCCCTTATGGCTGCCTGGGGAGTGAATCATCACACGGAAGATCTTCCTCTCTCTGTATATCTGACTTCCCAATAAGAAAACAAATCTTAAAAAAAAGTAAAAATCCTGAGTAGAGTAAGTTTGAAAATAAACTCTTCTATTTTTTATTGCAACTTTCAGTGATAAATTGAAAAGCACAGAATACTACAGCTGAGGAACAGCTAAGCTTCGCCTTTGGTTGGTTGGTGAAGTTGAGATCGCAGTTATTTCTTTTAAAAAAATTTTATTCATTTTTATTGAAAGGCAGATTTATAGAGGAACAGAAGGAAAGCTCTTCTGTCCACTGTTTCACTCCCCAAATGGTCACAATGACCAGAAACAAGTCAATCCGAGGCCTGGAGCTTCTTCCGAATCTCCCACATGGGTGCAGGGTCCCAAGGCTTTGGGCCTCCCTCTACTGCTTTCTCAGGCCACAGGCAGGGAGCTGGATGGGAAAGGAGTAGCCAGACACAAACCGTAGCCCACATGGTACGTTCTCACGTGGAGGTGGAGGACCATCCAACTAGCCATCATGCCAGTCCAAAGATTGTTGTTTTTCTTCCTAAACAGCTTTTCTATCAACATTTTTGTGATATATGACTCCCAAAATAAATGTATTTACATGATTAAACATTTGTATTCAAACTGTTGTAAACAACATTATTTAATATATCCTTCATTCAAGATACAAAGGATACTTTCAAGAAAATTTGTAACACCAAACTTATATGTTAGAGAAAAACGTACAAAAAAGATTTTATTATTTAAATCAAAATGAAAGAACTTAATATTCAGGATTCTAAATTGGGAATATTAATCTAAAAAGCATCAGAAAATTCAGAACACAAATAAAATTTAGGAAACATACCTGTCATCCAAAACAATGATGATTTCACCATGTTTAAAGGTGAGTTCATTGTCCTCAACAGCTTCAAAATCATACAAAGCTCTCACTTTCCTTGCAACGTTATTATTTAACTGGATTTCTGCAACTGGATATAAGGATTTTGTTTCTGTATGTTGCTGCTTCTGCTCCTGCAGTGATAGTTCAATAGCTGGTTTGAAAAATTAAAATGTAAAAAAAAAAAAAAAAAAGCCATGGTTATGTTTAAAAAGAAATTTTCTGATATTTAATTAGAATAAATTAAGCAAATATTTTAATTGTCCAATTATCGCTAAACTGTTAACTTCTAAGGAGAGGGGACAAACCAGAACATTTTTTTAAAGTCATTTTTGGAGCTTGGTGCAGTAGCCTAGCAGCTGGAATCCTTGCCTTGCACTTGCCGGGATCCCACATAGGAGCCGGTTCTAATCCCGGCAGCCCCACTTCCCATCCAGTTCCCTGCTTGTGGCCTGGGAAGGCAATCAGGAATGGCCCAAGACCTTGGGACCCTGCACCCGCCTGGGAGACTTGGAAGAGCTCCTGGCTCCTGGCTTAGGATCGGCTCAACTCCAGGCATTGCAGCTACTTAGGGAGTGAATCATCAGACGGAAGAGGGTCTTCCTCTCTGTCTTTCCTCTCTCTATATCTGACTTTCCAGTAAAGATAAAATCTTAAAAAAAAGAAAGTAATTTTTGCTCATTCCTCATTATCACATTCTGTCATATACAGCAGCTATTATTTTTATAGCAAACAGATTGTGACATTATAATATGGGTAACTTTCCATATAGGACAAGTTGTGAACATATTTTTGTGCTTTGACTCATTACTTTGGCATTAAAGAAAAGGTGAAATGTAATCTCTCCAAAGGTAGAACATAACTAGAAAGGAAAATTAATTCATCTTAAATCAGTTGTTTCTCTGCTTTTTCAGATCTACTTCTTTTAGATGAGATAGAACTGACAGTATGCCTCATTTTATAATTTTATTTCAATGAAATGCCATGCCAGAATATTTTAAACTATATCAAATTACTTGTGCTTCATCATTTACCTTTAGCCATGTCTTCATCTTCTTTGGTTTTGTTTGATGACGTACCATTCTTGGCAGCAGCTGAGGCAATCTATAAATGTATGAGTGGAATGAACACAACTATCCTTTCAAAGAAAATACACGCTCTATAATTACTTGCGATGCTAATTTTTAAAAATACTGATATAACTGAATTTCATTTAAAAACAAAACTCCTTATGATAATTTTAAGTCACAGTTTCCAAATACTAAAATAAAACAGAATTTTAAGGAAAATATTATAAACTCACAAAGGACACAAACTGGCTTACAATAAGTGACATAGAACATGGCACAGAGAGGTACCTAAATATTTATAGCACAAATAAAATGATTTCCTTATTGAATGCACATTGTACCTCTACAAGGAGAGGTGTCCTGCTGCTATGGGAATGCAGCCACACGATATGTGCATTTGGAAGGCAAGATAACAATCCCAGAGTACAGAGACAGTGGTTACAGGTCTCGGAATAGTTGAAGCCCTCTCCTGCTGCTCATCACAGTCGAAGGGTGTGTTTTTTTCACGTGTTTAATGAGTTAAAGTTAGAAATAACGACCAACACATACTATTCCCAGCTTTTACATAAGGCATATCCCTTTCTACTAGCATAGGGCTAGCCATGGGTCTGAATCAGTATCTCACCTGTGACCCTGCTGAAGGAAAAGTAATTCCCTCTTCTTTCATAGATTTAATAGTTGCAGATATAAGACTAAACTGAGGGTCCTTCTGGAATTCTTCTGACCACTCAACCATCAAAGCTTTCAGTTTTTCACATACTTTTGGGTGAGCCTTTTAAAGACAAAGGGGACAAAATGTAAAGCTGTGGTTATAATAAGTTGTGAAGTTATTTAATAAGCAGAATCACCACCAACATTCTCTGAAATTTAATGAACATCAACAAAAGTCCAGCAATCCCTAACTTGGCTGAGGAACTGACAGGTGTCTATTTGTATGTTACAGGCCATTTCCCCTATGTTTTCTCGATACTCTTACACAAATGGTACTTGGAAGTTTCTGCTGCAAATAATAAAGGCCTCTATGCTCAGCAACTCGAACTGGAGTCAGCAGAGTGGTGGCTAGAGCTTGAAATCTAAAATCACACAGCTCTAGACAGGAAATGCTATGCTACTTACAGCTGTACCACCTGGGACAAAGTTCTCTTTAAGCCTCTCTTTGCTACAAGAGAATCTAACTTATAAGAGTAGTTAACAGTATTAGACAATGTGTGTACAACACTTACAGAAGTAACTGCTTATTCAACCCCAATCATATACATATACAATCATATACATATACATATGCACACACACATATACATATACATATGCTTTGAGGAGAAAAGTTTTTTGTGTCATCAATTTTTAAAAATTCAAATTTCAAAATAAGTGTACTTCAATTTATTTTAAATGATTTAAATGATAATGATGATAATGACTAAGGCATAATTAAAATGAAGCACTGCATTTATTTTTTAACGACTTAAATATCTGCTCTTTCCTAAAATTTTACCTTATTTATCACAGCACGAATTTCTGTCGCAAAATCACGGGAGCATACTTCCAAGTGAAATATCTTTCCACAATTTGCCACACAAGCCCCAAGAAGCTATTAGCAAAAATAAAAATTAATACACAAATGTCAAAATATCTTATTTAACTTACTGAAATAAACAAACATTTAAAATTTGGGTCCAGTAGTAATATGATTTTTACTCACAGTTAGTGCCTGCAAAGCAACATGGGGAACCTTATGATTTACTCTCTTCATTATGGCTTTTAGGCAATCTTTTGCTCTAGAAAGAAACACACATTGTTTTGAGCAAGAATTTAAACATTAAAATTATAAGGTCTTTCATTAACCAGAAGTTTAAAATCTAAAAGGTAAAAATGAGGTCCTTGAGACTTCATCTTAAAGGAATAAATCTATAAAACTATTCTACAGGATCTTTTCTTCAGAGACTCAATCATAAAAATAAAACCTGTTGCAGATGTTGCATATTTCAAAAGATCAAAGATGTCTTCGGCCTGGCATGGTAGTCTAGTGGCTAAATCCTCGCCTTACATCTGCCCAGATCCCGTATCGGGAGCTGTGTCCTGGCTGCTCCACTTTCCATCCAGCTCCCTGCTTGTGGCCTGGGAAAGCAGTCGAGGATGGTTAAAGGCCTTGGGACCTGCATCTGCATGGAAGACTCAGAAGAAGCTCCTGGTTCCCGGCTTCAGATCAGCTCAGCTCCAGCCGTTAGGCCACTTAGGGAATGAACTAGAGGACGGAAGACCTGATTCTCTGTCTCTGCTTCGCTCTGTTCATCTGCCTTTCCAATAAAAATAAAATAAATCTAAAAAAATATGTATATATGTATCTCAAAAAGGTCAGCTAACAGAAGAAAACTATAGCATGTAAACCATCTTCATTTTTCTAATAGACTCAACTTTCAGAGAGCAAATTCTTCTCTTGGGGAAAAAAAGCAATATACAAGGATATTTTAAAAAGTTAATGTTTTAAGGGGTTTCCGGAGAGATCCTGATGGTCATTGCCAGAGAGGGTGGGGACCCAAAGTTGGAACCAAGCAAGGACCAGAGAAAGCTCCCCTCCCTAGTCCTGAAGGAAGTTTACTGTTCTGTTTCTGCGGACTGCTCAGGGCTCCTGGCTGTTGTCCCGATGCCCTTGAAGTCACAGGATGAATGAAGAAGTCACAGGATGTGGTTAAGAACTTGCATTTTTTTTTAACATATTGGTTACTCAATACTATGTCAATTAATTCCATAATGTTATAAATTGTTGCTGATGTTATGTTGGGGCTTTTAATTGATCGGGATGATACTCTGTCAGCTCTATCTTCAGACCAGAGAAGGTCTCTCCAACAAGCTGTTGAACTTATCTAGACAATAAGATGATGGACTCTATACTTGGTATATACTTGCAATGAAAGAATTTCTACTGAAGTTGAACTGTGGTAATGCAACAAGGTGGAAGAATCCACCATGGGGGGAGGGCTAAGGGAGGGGTGAGGGGAATCCCAGTACCTATAAAACTGTGTCACATAATGCAATGTAATTAATTAAAAAAAAACTAATAGAAAACATTAAAGTTAAGCTTTTTCAGTGCACAACTTCTTTTAAACTCTCACATACCAGTATAGTCTTGGGTTCAAATATAAACTTGTATAAAATTTTGTATATGCTACAGCTGAAATGTTAAAGAAGTAGGCATGACATAGTAGGCTAACATGCCATTAGCAATGCCTGCACCTTAGACTGCAGTGCTGCCCACTCTGCACTGCTGGTCCAGCTTCCCGCCATCTGCACCCTAAAAGGCAGCAGGTGATGGCCCAAAAACTTGAGGTCCTTCCACCCATGTGAGAGACCTCCTGGCTCCCTCCTGTGGACTTTGGGGAGGAGGAGTGAACCAGTAAACCAGTCATGTGCTCTTCATTTACAAAGAAATGAATCTTTAAACAAACAAAAAAGCCCAAACACTTGTTACTCTTCTATTGTACACTGCATTCATCTTAGTTGCTACATTTGCTCTGAAAGCACTCTTTTTGTCTTTTTTTTTTTTACTGTTACCTGTCATATTTATCTATTCTTTATTGAAAGGCTTTTTCATTATATGTTATATACTTTAATATCAAAAGCCTTTCAGACAAGTCTAAGTCACAGGGAGATTTCCCAAATAACTAATCTGCCCAGTATTAATACGTGTCCTTGTGGTATCTAGACTTTAATTATCTCACAGGGCTCAGGTTTTCAAACTCCACCATTTTTTTTTATTGCATTTCATTTTATAACATCATTTCATAGGCTCTGATGTTCCCCCAACCCCTCCCCATGCCTTCCCCCCGATGGTGGATTGCTCCACCTTATTGCAGTATTACAGTTCAAATCCAGTCTTGTTTCTTTCAATGCAAGCATGTGCCATGCATAGAGTCCAGCATCTTATTGTCCAGCTCAATTCAACAGTTTCTTGGGGAGACCAACTCTGGTCTGAAGGCATAGCTGGCAGAATATCATTCCGACCAATTAAAAGCCATAACATAACATCAACAACAGTTTCCAACATTATGGGGTTAATTAACATTGTATTGAGTGACTGATATGTTAGAAAATGCAGGTTTGGGCCCGGCGGCGTGGCCTAGCAGCTAAAGTCCTCGCCTTGAACGTGCCGGGATCCCATACGGGCGCCGGTTCTAATCCCAGCAGCTCCACTTCCCATCCAGCTCCCTGATTGTGCCCTGGGAAAGCAGTAAAGGATGGCGCAAAGCTTTGGGACCCTGCACCCATGTGGGAGACCCAGAAGAAGTTCCTGGATCCTGGCTTTGGATTGGCATAGCATCGGCCATTGCGCTCACTTGGGGAGTGAATCATCAGACGGAAGATCTTCCTCTCTGTCTCTCCTCCTCTCTGTATATCTGACTTTCCAATAAATAAATAAATCTTAAAAAAAAAGAAAAGAAAAGAAAATGCAGGTTCTTAACCACATCCTGTGACTACTTCATTAACATTTCAATTTTAGTTTGTATACAACTGGCTTCTATCTACCTTAAAATGGCTATAGGATATTATTCAGCTGTCTCATGTCTATTTTCATTTTAGTATTTAAGAGTTTATTGTGTTGAAGCATAATTTTTACTGAACTTGGCAGATTTTAGGATAGTCTAAACTGGCTTATAGCTTTAACAAGGCATATGACACCAGTTGAGGCATAGAACACTGTTGGGAGGGGTGTGCAGAGAAATCCTCCATACCCTAGTTAGGAGTAATTTATTTTCATGTCCTACCTAGTAAGGTATGTGTGAGTCCCTACTGATCGTTTCCTGTCTAGTTCTAAGCTTTCCTTGTTGTTCTCTATTCTAATTTTTTATTGTTTGCTTGTTTGTTTTGTTTTGGGGGGACCATTTTTTTTTAAGCTATGGCTAATAAAAATCTAGCCTCCAGTTTCTCTTAACTTTTAACCTGCAAACTAAATAACAGAACCTCACTTTCCATTGTAAGTAGCATCACAAAAACACCTAGACATTTACTGGTATGACTATGCATCTTACCCATTAGGAGTGCTTCCCACTTTGTCACATATATCCATAATAAGACTCCAGTCTTCTGTGGTGTTGTATTCATTTGTAGCTTTTTCTGTAAGATACATTGTCATATGCAAGAATTAGAGCATTGATTACATAATACCAAAATACCAACAAAGGCTCAATAGTTAAGTAGTGTCTCTTCCCAAAGATTAAAAAACAATGGATGCACTTCAGAACACAGAACACTCTTGCAACAATTGTATAATTAAATCACACTGATTCTTTTGTGTTTAGTGACTTTTAATGTTTTCAAAATTATTCATGACATAGCACATATTAGCATTTCACATCTTTTTATTGCTGAATTAACACCACATTGGGCAGATATACATTTATCTAGCCATCAATTTATCATTTGGTTACTGCTTTTTTTTTTTCTATTAACATTTTATTCTGGTTCCAGGTGTTTGATTTTGAGTTAACAGCAGAAGATATGAATGAGATCCTTAATCTAGACAAAAATGTCCTGTATACCATTTTGAACCCTTCACCTCTGTGATTACGATTACATTAAATGTATCATTTCCTAATCTGCATTTCCACTTATATCTCTTCCCGTACATAAATTCATATCTACACCAATTTTTTAATAGCTGCATAATGTATCATTACATAAAGAGTGGCCACAAATTCCTTAATACAAGCTGGTGAGAAGATACCAACAAACTGTGGTTCAAATCTACTACAACTCAATCTCTTGTCTTTGTTGTACCTGCTGGTGTTGCTCATAAGGATGCACCACACGGAATAACGTCACATAACTAAAAGGGCACCATCTGAGGCACAGGCCTTTCTGAAGATGTTTCATAACATAAATACTTTAACATCTGTCTCTACTAAATCTCCCCTCCCCTGGAATGAATATAAGCTCCATTTTTGGTTGCTTGTTCCCAATGATCATTTATCCTATATAAAATAGTATCTAGGGTACACTGGGTGTCAACATGAATGAATGAAAGTTGTGACTCCATGTACTATTACCCTTGTACAATACTTGAAATGTGGGAAAGAATGGTAGTGCTTCTGAGTATGTGAACTTTAATGCTTTAATTCCTTTTTTTCTTTAAAAATTTATTTATTTTTATTACAAAGTAACATATACAGAGAGGAGGCGAGACAGAGAGGAGGCAAGACAGAGAGGAAGATCTTCCATTCGATGATTCACTCCCCAAGTGACCTCGACGGCTGGTGCTGCTCCGATCCAAAGCCAGGAGCTAGGAACTTCCTCCAGGTCTCCCATGTGGGAGCCCAAAGCTTTGGGCCATCCTTTACTGCCTTCCCAGGGCACAAGCAGGGAGCTGGTTGGGAAGTGGAGCTGCCAGGATTAGAACCTGCACCCATATGGGATCCCGGTGCATTGAAGGCGAGAACTTTAGCCACTAGGCCACCGCGCCATGCTCAATGCTTTAATTCTAATGTCCAAAGTGACCTAAGAAATGTCTGTGCAAGATTCTTTGTGTGTGTGTGTGTGTGTGTGAGCGCAATCTTCTAAACCAGCAGAGCCTTGCTGCTGAGCAAACATCTGAGATGTTGTAAAGTATCACGTTTCATCAGCAGCATCACCTGGCAACAAAAGGCAATGGCATTTAGTGGGCTTGTGACATCTCTGCTTATCAAAGAGAAGCTTGAACTCTTAGGAGTCTTAGCTCTGGAAACAGTTACCTAGGGAAGACAATGCCTTGAAAGATAGGCAACAACTTCCTTTACTTAGGAGTGCAGGCTTAACATTCCAAGTCCAAAGGCAAACCACACAGAACACATCTGATTTGCTTGCATCACACTAATTTTTCCTCTTATGATGGTGTTTTGTTTGTTTCTACTGTAATAAAATCTTTCTTTTGATAACAGCACTTGGCACAGTGTTTTAATTACCTCAAGAGGAAATATTCACCCATATTCTTTTCTGTATGTTATTTCTGTTCTATATTTACAATTATAGTATATCTGAATTTCATTTAATAGATTAGGGATGGCACACATGCGATAAGCATAGAACACTATTTTCACTATTTTTTTTTTTTGCCAATGGTTCCAACATTTAAAACTCTATATTCCTCACATTCTAAGAAATGATCAACATCAATGACATATTTGTGCACAAAATATACACAAATTTAAGCAACTGAGCTTGATTTTAGACCGTATGGTAATCATTCACTAGGTACGTTATACCAGAAGTCATTTCTCATGAGGTCATATAATGTAATTAAATATAAAGCAATTTTTGAAATATCAAAATAGAATATTATCTACTTGTTTTTTCATTTTCCTTAAGAATTGAAAAATTCTGACCTAAATACTCTTCTCAAGCACAGTATGTTCTCTACAAATAAAGTACTCACACTTATACTTTTTTTAAAAAAAAATTAAAATCTGAAGATTTTATAATGGCCTGCCAACAAGGACTGCATTTTTCAAGTGAACTACATAACAGTTAAATTATGTACTTAGATGCATTTTAAACTCCTGAGAAATTTTAAATATTATAATTAAGAAACCATTATTTTATAGCATGTCACTTTGCCCAGTGCTTGGTGCCCTATTGTACATTGTCTTATGTCCAATGCATAGAGGCAGAGAGCTCTCCTGGGGCATAAATGCCAAATTGCCTGCGTTTAGTGGGTGTAAGTCATAACATTTCATCACCAGGCTCTGATTATTGTACCTAGAGAGCCTCAAATACACAGTGAAATAGTTCAGAAAGATCCCAACAGTATCATAAAGAATCATTCTATCAATACCTGCAAGGAACAAAAAGACTTGCCCTCTACATAGTGCATTATGCTCCAATTTCAGCTTTAAAAGGAACTCAAGCCAACTTACACAACTTTTAATAACAGATTCTATCAGTAATTTAAAAAAATCAACTACATAGCAGTCAGCACTGTGGCACAGCCAATCAGCCACCTGCAATGCTGGCATCCCACATGAACACCATCATGACCAGGCTGCTCTACTTCCAGTCCAGTTCTCTGCTTGTGACCTAGGGAAAAGCAGCAAAGTTCATGTGTTTGGGCTCTTATCACCCCATGGAGGAGACCCAGATGGAGCTACCAGCTGGTGTGAGCCTGGTCCAGCTTGGTTGGCCATTGCATTCATCTAGTCAAACAGCAGATGTAGGATCTCTCTCTATCTCTTACTGCACCTCTCTTAAACTCTTTCAAATATATAAAATAAATCTCAAGAAAAAAGTACAGAAAACAAGAATGCTGGCAAGAAATCCTTAAAGCTCCTCCTGCTATATTTGGAAATGAAACTCATGATTAGTCTCCTGCTTGCAAGCATGACTGAATATCTGGTACTAGACTTAGTATCCTACCAAAACATTGATAAAACAAAATCAACATGGTAACTTTTGTTTTCTTTCTTTCATTTAAAGATTTACTTATTTCCATTAGGAAGAAAAATTTAAGGCAGAGAGAAAGACAGATAGACAGATATTCCATCCACTGGTTCACCCCACAAGTGGCCACAATAGCCAGAGCTGAGCCAGTTGAAAACCCGGAGATAAGAGCTTCTTCCAATTCTCCCAACCAAACACAGGATCCCAAGGTTTTGGGCCATCTTCCACTGCTTCCCTAGGCCACAAGCAGGGAGCTGGATGGGAAATGGAACATACTGAGTATGAACCAGTGCCCATATGGGATCCCAGTGCATGGAAGGTGAGGACTTCAGTCACTAGGCTACCACACTGGGCCCAAGGTAAATAATTTTATGAGATGAATGACAGTTCAGTTCTGAGATACTGAAGGGAAAAGAAATGTAGAAAGATGATCTCTACATTCTGCTTGAGAACATATTAGAGTCCCAGCACACAGTGGGCCTTCTGCCTTGGTAAAGCAGTTGGGAGACGCAAACTAGATTTGATCCTATCTTTTCCCTTCCTTTCCCTTTTCCCCTTTCTTTCTTTTCTTTTCTTCCCCTTCCTCCCTCCCTCCCTCCCTTCCTTCCTTCCTCTCTCTCTTTCTTTTCCTCCCTCTTTCCTTCTAAAGATTTATTTCTTATTGGAAAGTCAGATTTATAGAAAAAAGGAGAGACAAAAATAAAGATCTTCCATCCACCGGTTCACTTCCTAACTGGTCATAACTGCCAGAGCCAGGAGCCAGGAGCCAGGAGCCAGGAGCCAGGAGCCAGGAGCCAGGAGCCAGGGTATAGCATCTTCTTCCTAGTTCTCTCATGTGGGTACAGGATTGCAAGGCTTTGGGCTGTTCTCAACTGCTTTCCCAGGTCACAAGTAGGGAGCTGGAAGGGAAGTGGAGCAGCCAGGATACAAACTGGTGCCCACATGGGATCCTGACGCATGCAAGGTGGACTTTAGTTACTAGGCTACAATGCTGGGCCCACAGACCAGATTTCTAAACTCAGGGATTTACTTCAGGTCTTTGGTACAGGGCTAGGCTACAGACACTCAGGAGAAGTCCACTGAGGTCCGACAGATATCACCTAGTACAGAGCTGAAACGTGCTGCAAAGCAAAGTCATCTAGCCTTCAAAGGTCAAACCTTTGTGTGTCCTCCAAACCTTAGAAGTTGTCCTAATCCCAGAGGGTTCTTTTCACGTGGCCTCTAAAGAATCAAAGTTAAATTAGCCCTGCTCCGATAGGATAGGATTAGTGTCCTTTGAAAGAGACAAAGCAGTACCTGACTATTCATTCCCCTCTCCAAGCCCCTTTGCCTGCACCTTCCCCGACCTGCACATACCAGGGTGAGGCCATCTGAAGACACCATGAGGTGATAACTCTAATGCAAGGGAAAGCTAGTACCTTGACCTTGGACTTTCAGCTCCCAGAACTGTGAGAAAATAAATTTCCAATGTGTAACCCACCCAGTGTATTTTGTTCCAATAGCCTGAGCAGACTAATAGCAGAGCACCCAACCAGTGAGAACACTTGATGCATTCAGAAGAAATGCAAAAGGCCCTATCTTAGGAGACAAAGCCCTCTAGGTTTCAAAATTGAAATTGGCCTGCTTCACATAATATACACCCAAGTCTGATAAAACCTCAAAGATCCTCTAATACAATTATCTGGCAGAACAAAATGTTTACCATG